TAGACTCCGTTTTTACCAGTATAAATCTAAACTTACAAAAACTGTGCCCCTGTAAGTTCAACCCTGGTATAAAGGAAATGTAGTCCATTGAAATCCAGTAAGGTTATGCTTCCATGAATTTCTCAGTACCTTAGCTTTTAATTCCATTTTTAGCCCTGACTAGATGCAAGACTAAAAGATTTCACACACTTTTGCTGTGTAGTCATATATTGTTCCTGCTGCTTTTAGCTCTATTTCTGAGCCTAAGCTACCTTATTAAATCCAATAGGTAGTTTCATTCATTTAAAGGGGCTGGTTTAAATCCAGGATGAATGTGTTTTATGGGATCTAAACAAGTTCGTGTAAAATTTTCAGGGGTGCTGAAGTGACTTTTGAGACCAGTTTTCCTCAAGTGACTCAGGTGTCAACGACTTTCAGCTGGACTTTCCTCCTAAATGCTGCTTAATGCCTATCTTTGAAAATAGGATATGAACTTCTAAGTCGCTCAAGCACTTCCTAAAACCTTGCTCATATGTCTTTTGAGAGAGGAAGGACTTGTCTTTTGATGTAAAATGCCACTTAGCTCCCTAATTAGGGAGCCAAATTATTATTTGACAGCATCAATTTAGCCTAATGTTAAATATTCAACTTCAGCATCAGCATTTGAGAGAACTGATCTGATGTAATATTCCTGTTTGAATGCATTATTTCTAATTTTCTGTTTTTGACGTGTGGTATTTTCCTCTTTCACAGCATCACTGTAGACAGTGTGGAAATATCTTTTGCGCTGAGTGCTCAGCAAAGAATGCCTTAACTCCTTCTTCTAAGAAGCCTGTCCGGGTCTGTGATACTTGTTTCAATGACTTGCAAGGATAACTGGTTATCTCAAATGATGTGTGTTACACTAAAATTAGAATTTCTGTTGATGCACTTCGTACAGCACTCAGACTACTATTCAGTTTGGACAATGATTGTAACACTTGGCAAAATTTAGTATATTTTAAAATGTTTATTGATACCAAGTAAAACTATTGTATTTTTTGTGAGACATGGGCTCAAATCATCCATAGCTTATTGCCATTTACCCTGGAAAAGAGATTTTATGTCTAGATTAGAAATACCCAGTTACTTGTAAATAAAGTTTAAACAGAGGAGTAACAATGTATTTTTTTATCTTTAATTTTTTGTTCAAAAGAAAAATGTTTATGTGATATTGCAGCTAATTTTTGTTTCCTTTTGAAATGAGGAAGTTGCAAAAATCTGCCAGGATTTTGTGTATCAAATATTGCTGCTTTAATGGCATAATTACAATTAAATTGTTGCATTTAACTGCATAGCTAATATTCTTTATAAACCACTAGTCATTTTCTTTAGGACTTTCATGTTTGCCTCTTTCCAGTCCTACAATGAGAGCAAATAACAGAAATTGCATGCAACCTCATTGACCTCTATAGGGTCTGCCCACATGCAGCTTATTGCAATGTCAGTGCCTAAGTCATTGCCCAACTGCAGCATTTGGATATGGGGGCATTTTTACATGTACTGAATGGTTCCAGTATCTCTACAGACAAGGAAAGAACAGGAAAGCAAGTTTGGCTTCTTTCCTAGGAATATTATGTATTCTCTCTCATTTTGATTTATTTATTTGACCATCCCAACTATTTGCATCTGAGAGTGTTTATTTAATTTTTTTTTTTAATTCTGTTTTTACCCTGGTCACAATGGAAGTCCACAGAAATCCTTGGTTGGTCTTTCTATCAGCTTTCCTATGCTATATTTCCTACTAACAAGCTTTCTTTTGAGACTCCAGGAGATTCATATGGTCTTGTTCCTTTCATCGCAGTTGATAGAAGAAGGTGAGACCAGATTGTCTGTAACAGAGCTGGCCTTTTCTGCTTCATCTAATCCTGTG